TTAAATCGCAAGCATACTTTGTCCGAACAGTAATTGTTATATCCAACATTTTGTTTATTGCCTGGAGCCCTATTTTTGAATTGATACCATCTGTGCATTTCTCGAAGCCGGCATTGTCAACTGTTTGGGACCCATAAAAAGCGTTATAAAATAAGCTTACCTTGGTAACAGCCACCATGACTTCAGCTTAGCTCAAAGGACCGGAAGGAGTCTGCAGAGAACCACATATCGTGCACAACCGGAGGCCCGCTATAATTGAAATCAGAACCAAATTACCGGGCTAGACTGATTGCCTAATTAGGCTGGTCCCGATCGACTTCCGTGCACGGCATAAAGTCGACATTTGGTGCCGAGTCATTCTCAGTGAACACTGCTAATGGGTGATGTAGGCAAATAATATTTTATCTAGAAATAAGAAGTTTTGATAGAAATTCATTCTCACACTAATGTATTCCCAAGCAAGTTTTTATTCTAGAATATGTTAGCATAATTGAGCCCGAATAAAACAGTCGTAAGCGTCTGTCCTCTCTTTTGTAAGTACGAAGGATTAGCTATCAAGATCGGTTTTTGTGCGACAAATTAGCAAAAGGCCCAAGGCTTCATCTGCGTATAAGCCTTTATATTCCATTCATGGTTTTGGTAAGCCTAGCATTGTCAGGTAGCAGCATACGCTTACACACAGCACCAAAGCTCACATCCGGTATCGACAGCTCGTAGTTGGCAAGGTAATTGGCAACGCGTCACCCTTCGGTTGCTGCTGATGGTGTGATGCCGACCATATAAAGTCGCCCCACGTCTCTGCACGGCGCTCCTCAGCCTGGTGGGACGTAGTGCCGCGCCGACCGCGCCAGGTTCGTCCCATGCGTGTCGTTACCGCCTGTGACCGCGGTGCTCGAGCGCGGCAATCGATGCGCGGCTGGACAGTCGCGGCGCCCCGCGGCATGACCAGGCGCAGCGCGACAAACTGTGGAGAGACTGAGTGTGATGTGATTCGGTTCAGTGGCGTTGTGACTCAGCTATGTGATAAAGGTTTTTTGGCAAAGCGAGACATTGGGAATTATTGTGACCGGATCGAATGGCTGGTGGAAAATTAGCGTTGTGGGAACAAGCAAGGGCATGTGGGAGTCTGTAATTAGAGAGGTAATTGTCGGGGAGGTGGGGTGAATTTGTAATGCAGTGTATAATGATTAATGGATGGCAAGCCGAACTCAGGGCAGAGCTAAATGCGGCCTGTGATGATGCGCTTTTATTCCGTGTTGGGCATGCCTCAGGACATGATTTGGTATACAGGTAAACTGGAGAAGGATGTTACTAACTTTCAGACCATCGGAATTAGACTACAGGATGGTGTCGAAACTGCATGCTTTCTCACCTCGCTGAAATATGGAGTGGGCATGCACCAACAGCCTTCCTTTGGTATGCTCAAGAACCGTTCAAAGCACATGCCATGACTTTGTAAATGTGAAAACCAAATGAATTAGTCCCGGGAAGTGTCTTCAATTCCAGCATCTGGCGAAATCACCTCGGAGAATGTCACCCTTTCATCGCGCCTACAATTGCACGGCCGGTGTTGCAACGGGGCAGCGGCTCTCTGTACTGGGGGCCTGATTGCATTGCTCGCGGCCAGTCCATCCCACGGACACCCGGCGACTTGTGATTCGTGTCGGACCGACGCGCCGTGGGTGGCGCCGGAAGGGCTAAATCGAATCCGCTTATCGCCGCCGCCCGCACCGCTCGGGCGGCCGATGTGGCCGACATCGAGCTGCCGCTGCCGGCCGATGTGGTCCACATCGGGCTGCCGTTGCCGACTGAATCGGAGTCAGATGGAGTCCGCCGGGAAACGGCAGGCAAAGTGGCTCACTCTCCGAGCCTCAGCTGATGTCAACGGATCAAAGACATTGGTGAATTTAGGGTATTTTAGAAAAGGTGCGAAATAATTTCACTGACTGGATATTTATCAAATAATGAAAATAATCCGTGCTCTTTACTTCATACAACTTTGATAAGCTGTAAATGTAGACTTTCCTTTAAGGTTTTTTCCTTCTTCTCAGGAAGGGCTCATTTTAATAACAAAATATCTTTTGTTGACGGGAATAAGGTGGGTTCTAAGACGCAATTCTTTGATACATCCAGCTCAATTTACGCGGTTCTAATTGAGTCACCACATCAAGGGGGCTGTGTGGAGAGCGCGTGGACCGTTTGCGGCTCCTGCTCTGTCGCGGGTACTTCCGATGTCTCTGACGGGCGGAAATCAAACCCACCACCGAGCTGCTAACCGCACGGGGCTGACCCGAACTGGCCATTATCTAACCGCACCGGACTGGTGAATGGTCTGGTCTTACCGGGAAGAATTGAACCGGGCGTAGACGAGGGGTCTTACCGGGCAGGCAAGGCAATACTGAGCTTTGCACCACGGACCAAACTATTGAAAAAGAATAAAAGCCGATGATGCTTTGTTATGTACTGCTTAAATCATTGTTCATCGCCTTTCCGACATCACAATGAAGACCACATCAGAGTAAACGATTTTCACAAAAAAAGTATTTTTAGACAGAGTTCCGGTCTGTCTTGATTCAGTTAGATTAAGAGGTAGTCAGTATTGCTGACCTTCGGTAAAAGGAAGGTCTAACAATTGCTATCGTATTGTTCCGTACACTGTCTGCTTCATATCCATCTTCCTTACTTCTATTCCTCAGGATGTCGGCAGACGATCCGGTCGGATCCGGGGCCAGGGTCACTGACGTGACCGGTCCATGTCGACGGTCGGAGAATGAAAGGCACGCCCCTGCGGCATACGAACGGCCACGGGGCGGGCGTCCGTATTAGTCATTCATTGAATCATACCAGTCGGCGCTCCAGTGGCTGCTCAGACGTGTTATTTACGACTGAGCGAGCTGGGCCGCGGCGTAACGTCGTGGGGTCAGATGGAGAGGGTCGGATGTGGGCTAGACCGGATCGGTGAGGGGGTGAGAACGAGGAGGGGTGGGGAGGGTGAGTAGAGACCGAGCTGAGAGGCTCAATAAGAGTGAATATAAGATAAACACTGAAAAAGAACTTAACACAGCAAGCATGCCCTTACAAGCATGCCGTGAGGCTATTGAGGGAGATCGTGAATAGACGACGGTAGCCGAGAGGTCGCATACGCATTGTCCACCGACTAACTAGCGGCCCCGTCATCCTTCGAGACTTCCTGATTGATCAGAAGTCAGAAGGGAACTGAACTGAACTACAGATACGCAGTTTCTGATGGCTGGCGTCTGCAGCAGTGCAGCAGATCACAAAATAAGGCAGCAGTGATAAGATAAACTCAGAATCCTAGCTTCGGAACGGTATATACGGGTCTTGTTTTGGGTCCTCTCGAACAAATAGATGGTGCGCTGAAGGGACGACATTGCAACAAGTCGTAGACCTTGGTATATACGGTTTATAGAGATCTATGAACGAGTATAGTTTAAATTTTGCGAAGTGGCAATGCACTGATGCACTGGATCTTTTCTGAAATACTTTTGCATCAGCTGAGGCATAGAATCAAGATTGTCATTTCATAGGATAGTAATCTCTCGGTAGCAATAAACTTGGATGGCCCATTATATCAAAGGCATCATTCTATGGAAATACTGAGGTCATGTGTCAAGAGAGCATCTTTGCACATGACTGAATTAGTAAGCTTATGCCATCGTATACCGGGAATTATGCATATCGTGGTAAACCATCCGTGCGAAGACCATTTGTCAGAATGAATGTTCCAAAGTTTGATTAGTATTAAAGCACGAAATTTCAATCTTGTGGTGCAGGTTCCGTCCCTCCAATTATCCTGAACGAATCCCGTACCTATAAGGAATTGTATCATGGCGATTGTGATTAATATTTCAGGTGTGTTTCATGTCACGCGCTGGGTAAGTCAGATAATGATCGAAGACGGATGAACTTACGCACTTTTCCACCCATCAGAATGACAACCAGTCGGAAGTAGTATATTTAGGTCAGTCTATTATGATTTATATCATAAGCGACTGAGGTTTGCTCGTGCTTCGCCACAAATACCACACCGGACCTATTTACAAATCTTTCCCCTTTATTGGGCGTGTCGGACTATAAGCCCACCAGTCGTCGGCCTCAGGATTGCGTGGGTGGTCGCCCAGCCCCCTCCCCGTCCCCGGCGCTGGTAC